AGCTTATTTAACTTATATGCAGAATACATCATGCGGAAGGCTGGACTGGAGGAATCCCAAGCCGGAATTAAGATTGGCGGAAGAAATATCAACAATCTCCGATATGCAGATGATGCCACTCTGATGGCAGAAAGTGAGGAGGAATTAAGGAACCTTGAAATGAGGGTGAAAGAGGAGAGTGCAAAAAACGGCCTGAAACTCAACATCAAAAAAACTTAAGATCATGGCCACTGGTCTCATCACCTCCTGGGAAATAGAAGGGGGCGATATTTTCTTGGGCTCCATGATCACTGCAGATGGAGACAGCAGCCACGAAATTAAAAGATGCCTGCTTCCTGAGAGGAAAGCGATGACAAACCTTGACAGCATCTTAAAAAGCAGGGACATCACCTTGCCAACAAAAGTCCGAATAATCAAAGCTATGGTTTTTCCTGTTATGATGTATGGAAGTGAGAGCTGGACCATAAAGAAAGCAGACCGCCGAAGAATTGATGCCTTTGAATTGTGGTGCTGGAGGAGGCTCTTGAGAGTCCCCTGGACTGCAAGGAAAACAAACCTATCAATTCTAAAGGAAATCAACCCTGAGTGTTCACTGGAAGGACAGATCCTGAAGCTGAGGCTCCAATACTTTGGCCATCTCATGAGAAGAGAAGACTCCCTGGAAAAGACCATGATGTTAGGAAAGTGTGAAGGAAAGTGTGACGGCAAGAGGAGAAGGGGACGACAGAGGATGAGATGGCTGGACAGTGTCTGCGAAGCAACCAACATGAATTTGACACAACTACGGGAGGCAGTGGAAGATAGGAGGGCGTGGCGTGCTGTGGTCCATGGGGTCACGAAGAGTCGGGCACGACTAAACGATGAAACTCAAGCCTGTGGCTTCTTTTGGGGATTATTTGATCTTCCTCTTTTCCTGCCTTCAACCTTTCCCAGCATTATTGTCTTCCCAGAGAATCTTGTCATCTTGTGATGTGCCCAAAGTAGTACAGCCTCAGTTTCAACATTTTTCCTTCCAGAGATAGTTCAGATTATTTGCTCCAGGATCCATGTGTTTGTCTTTTTGGAAGCCCAGAAAGTACTGGGCTCAGTACTATGTAGGAAACAAATCATTTTTGTCCTATCCAGCTTTCACACCCTACGTGGTAATTGGGAATACAACAGTGTGGATGGTCTTGGTCTCCGGAGACATATCCTTGCACTTGGTGAGCTTTTCTAATTCCTTCATCAATGCCCTTTTGTGTCTTGGTCGTCCTCTGATTTCTTGACTGCAGTCTCCATTAGGATTGATGACTGAACTAAGATATACAATATATTTAACAATTTCAATTTCTTCATTTTCACCATTGAAGCTTGTCTATTGGAAATCATTCTGTTTCTCCACATTTTCTCCTAATGGTATCTTCTTGTCCACAAGACGGGTTACACATCAGGACAAACAAGTGCTGGGGCACACCTGTTTCTTTCAAAACAACCCATACAGTCCAACCATCAAAGGCTTTGCTGTGGTCTGTAAAGCATGGACTGATCATCTTCTGAAATTCATTGGTGTGCTCCAGTAGCCAGCAGATATGTAATATGATTTTAACTGCCTCTTCCTTTTCAGAATTCAGGTTAAACATCAGGCATTTAATGCTGCATATAATGTAAAAGCCTTTGTTGCAACACCTTAAGTATCACTTTGATTCCATGGGAAAGAGCAGTGGTCCTACTGCACTCTTTGGCATATTCTTCCTTGGAGATTGGAATGTGTATTCAATATTTCCAGTCTGCGGATCATTGTTTTGTTTCCCATATTTGTTGGTATATTCTTGTTAGGATTTGACAGATTCAGTCTTTATAGCTTGAAATAATTATATTGGTATCCCATCTAATCACCCTTGGTGATTTATTTTTCCTGGTACTTTCAGAGCAGCTTTCACTTTACTTGGTAGATCATAGATTCTTCTTCAGAACAGTCTGTCATCCTTCTGTCTCTTCTGTATAGGTCTTCAATATACTGTTTCCACTTTCTCTTTATTTTCTCCTAATCAGATAGTGTACTTCTCTGTTGGTCATTCAACCTTCCTAACCTAGGCTTAAATTTCTCTTTGATTTCTTGGATGTTCTGGAAGAGATATTTTGTTTGTTCTCTTCTTTCACGCTGGCTGTTGTAATAGTTCTCTTTTTTGCTATGTGACGGTAACTAAAAAACTGCAGTGTTCTGACCCTGTTTTCTGTCACTTTTTGCATTTGCTTCTTGGCCTGTGCTTTACAATTTTTTCCCATCATCCATCTAAGTTTTTAATTATTTACTACAGGAATTGTTTTTCACATTCTTCCCTAATAATTTTTCTTGTTTCAAACCACAGTTGTTCTGGTTCATGGTTAATTGAGTTAATAATGCAAATCTGTTTCTTATGTGGAATTTAACCTAATCAGGAATGTTGATTGAATTATGTTTTGGCATGTGTTCTTGTACCTTGAATGAATAGTTTATTTATGGTCCTTAGACCAGTATATTCTTGTACTGTTCTTCAGTTTTACTCTAATATTGGATATTAAGTTTATGATCAGTATCAAAATCTACTTCTGGTCTTGTTTTGGCAGAGAGAATGCAGTTTCTCCATTTTCTGCTTCCAGTTATAGAGTCTGTTTGACTTCTGTATTGCCCATCTGATAGTGCCAACATGTACAGCCACTGAAACAGTCACTTTAAACATGTATTTGCAATAAATTGATTGTTGGCTTCACAGAATTGAGTTATTCTCCTGCTTCACTTCTATCCTCTAGGTCAAATTTTCCAGCAACACTTGATTCTGCTTTGTTCCCTACTTTTCTGTTGCAGTCACCAGTGATTCCAAGCATATATTAATTTGGTGTGTGATCATTTTCCACTTGGATGCTTGCATAAAAGCTCTCAGTTTAATCTTCAGCATCAATAGTTGGAGCATAGATTTGAATGATGGTTATGTTGGTAGGTATTCCATAGAGTTTGATATTATTTGATCATACCTTGCATTACAGCTCTTTCTGCATATAATACATCTTCCCTCAATGGTAGAGCCATTCCATTTCTTCTGAGTTCCTATTTCCAGAGTAGAATACTTTGTTTTTGTTTGACTGAATCTATTCCATTCCAGTCCACTTTAGTTCACTGACACCAGACACTGCAATGTTCATATATTCTAGTAGCCGCATTGGTTGATGCGTTTTAGTCTGTGCTGAAGCTCCTGCATCCTCAGCAATGTTAGAGTATGCAGATCAATTGTGTCTCAGTTTGCAGTGGGTGATTCTGCCGGTCATTCAATTCTACCCTGCTATGGGGGCGCTATTGTGCATTGGTCACTTCCTGCCTCTCCTCTCTTGTGTGCATTCTTCCTTGAAGGGCCTTTTCCAAGATGGACATTGCCTGAGCACATGCTATCTGATTGCTCTCTCTCCATCCACACTTGCATCTATGCCATCCAGCTTTAGGGGGTGGTTTACCCAGTTTAGAAACATTCCTCAAAGCTAAAGAAACTTGCCTAGAATATGTAAGACAAATGCCTTCTTTATTTTTCACTCAGATGCTATATTTTGACCTTTGCTACTGAAACTAAAGTCTGTAGTTAATAAACCTTTTATAACGTTATTACAAGTTAACTCTTATGTTTTTGACTCTGTACTTAATTTAGCTCATTGAGGATATTTGGTCAGAACACACAATGATATCTAACAAGCAAGGGCTCCTTACCCTTCTCTGGAGCTGCCCAGCTCCTCCATGCGGCTTGGCTCAAATGAGCCAGCCTTTTCCGTGTCCTTGGGCTTGCTAAGCTGCTGCTCCCTGGCTTCTACAGCGGCTGCTGAAGTTGCACTGAAACATTACATATAAAATAGGCTGTACATTTTCCTATGAAATATATTTAGGGCTGCCTAGACTGGTTTAAAGAGGGTTGACCGCCTAAGAATTGATGCTTTTGAATTGTGGTGCTGGAGGCAACTCTTGAGGGTCCCCTGGACTGCGAAGAGAACAAACCTATCCATTTTGAGGGATATTAACCCTGAGTGCTCACTGGAAGGACAGCTCCTGAAGCTGAGACGCCAATACTTTGGCCATCTCATGAGAAGAGAAGACTTCCTAGAAAAGACCCTGATGTTGGGAAAGTGTGAGGGCAAGAAGAAAAGGGGATGACAGAGGATGAGATGGTTGGACAGTGTCATCGAAACTACCAACATGAATTTGACCCAACTCCAGGAGGCAGTGGAAGACAGGACGGCCTGGCGGGCTCTAGTCCATGGGGTCAGGAAGAGTCGGACACAACTTAACGACTAAACAACAACAACAGACTGATGTGTTGGACACAGGAGCAGCCCTTTTGGGGAACAGTTATTAAACAATATCCAGTTATGAAAAGCTATTGTTTCTTATCTTGAGGGATAAACAGGGTTTATTTGTAATAGTGGTCACAAATGACTTTTCAAATTAGGCTGCTGAAGATTTAAAAGCTTGGAAAGAGGGAACAGGCGTAGTTCTCTGTGTGAAAGTGTTTGTGTACTGCTTTCAGTTAGGGCAGTAATACCAATTTCTGTACTGAACTCCGGAAGCACCTTTTAGTGCCATTATTTCCCTTCTGACCTAGACCTCAAGGTTCTAGTGGGGGATGGGGGAATCATAGCCTAAAAGTGTAAAATCTGTCCACCCCTGATTTATAGGATGCCATGGATGAAGTTAAGAAACCTGATGTATTTGCTATGTTAATTATAAATGCAAATATCGCACATTAAGAGACATTATGGAGTGGGTTGAGTTTTTTGTCATCAGAAGTGGATATTTTGGACTGTGGGGGGACTCTTATGAATCAGTGCCTATTTCAACTTTAATTGGGGACATGCTTTATGAGGGAGAAACAATTTTTCTTCTTCCTCTTAGGCTTAAGAAGTGGCAATCCATACTTCCCACTTTATCCTGTTCCTCTCCATGAGTACCCTGGATACCTTGTTCCACAACATCCCATGCATATGAGAGTTCACAGAAGACCTTATTTTAATGGTCATCCATCCTCGCCCATGTTTTATCAAGCTACACGGTTCAGGCATTATAGCCCTGGGAAACGAACAGAGACTAAAGAAACACAGACTGATGTTAGACAGCTTGAAAGTAAACCAAAAAAACTTCAAGATCATGGTATAGAAATGAAAGGTTGTGAAGGTGCAAATATGGTCTGTGTCTCATCTGGTGGCAATAAGGGAGTTGAAAGCTCTTTAGAAGTGCATGAGAGAACTGGATCTTCTCCTGTTTCAGACAGAGACTTTACTAAGAGCCCTGCAGGCTCTGTGCAGTTCCGAGGCCTTCCCCCACCAGGGTATGCCTTTGAGAAAGAGGAGGTAAGAATAGAGTATGCTAATGGTGGTGCACCTGCCATTCAGCTATGGAAGTCCTTTAAAGAAACCATTCCTTTATATGATGTAGCAAAGAAGGATAACATTGTGCAAAGAGATGTGTTTGCTCTGAGTTCCTGTGAAGAAGTTGTGTATGCGTCTCCTGAACAAGGGCAGCTGGTGCCAAGTATTTCTTATCCGGAGGAGGAAAAGCCTCTTGAGGATGCACAAGAGAAGGAGTCTCAATGTAAAGTGAAAAAAATTGATTCAGAAAAACAGGGAATTATTAGTTATAGAGGAAGCTCACCTGTAGATGAAGCCAGCGCAACACAGCTGCCTGAACCAGCAAAACTTGACCAAACAAAGCAAGACCCTGTGATGTCCAAAAGATCTTATGGCTTGAAGAGGTCCAGTGGTTCAAGAGCTCCTCGAGATGTGTCGAACCTTGTTCGGCAAAGGGAGTTATTTCCATCTGGCATGGAGATAATTAATGATTCATATTTCCCTCAGAAGATGAAAGAAAACAGTGATGTTACCAATGAAACTTGGGCAGCTTCAGAAGCTAGTGTATGGTGTGATGAGTCAGAGAAATATATACCTTCTGAAAGCTGGCTAGCTTGTTTGGATAATATGGATACCAACCTCAACTATGATATGTATCTGTCCAGAAGAAAGCGTCCAAGTGTACTCAGTGTTACCTCTGATGAGATGTCTTCTGTAGATGAAGAAGGCTCATCAATTGACAATGTACCTACATCTTATCTTGACCCTGACTACATACTTAAGAAGGATATATGCACCTTCAAGAAAAGTACAGAGGGGTTGGGAAGAGAGAGATTTAGAAGTGGAGGCTCCCTCAATGAAGATGAGGAAGTGGTGGGGATTGAGCAGGCCAATTTGAAGAGAGGCTCACGCATCAAGGCTAACGAGCTTTCCTGTCGAAGTAGAAAGCCGGGCGTTCTTCCTAGGTTTTCTAGCAGCAGGCACCTACTCTATCCTCACAAGAAAAAGGCTTCTAGGAGTTTGTCTCCATCAGAGGTTGATGATTCTGAAGATTACTGGGTGAAGGAACCAGAAGGGGAAGGGGAAGAAGAAGAAGAAGAAGAGAATGAAGAAAGAGAATATTTGGTTCCAGAAGCTGCTCTTCATGGAACCGTGAACCCTAGCAAAGGTGGGTTTCCCTACTGGAAGACTGGCCAACAAGCATTCTGGAAACTACCTAAAAATGCAGTCCCAACACACATCATTAGTTGGCCTGTTCAAGAGAAAATGAAAATGCCTGGACTGGCTGCTAAACTGAAGAAAGAACAAGAGCAGGTTGAGGAACTCTGTGATGACTACAACTTCTTCTTGAAGAGGCCTATGGCACACCAGCTAGAAATGTTTGAGCACCGAAGAAATTCACAAAAGGGTCCAGGTAAGTAATAAAGTGGAATGTACTTTGGCAAGTAAAAAACTGCAGCTGTTAACCTGGACCTTTGGTTGGGAGCACTTCCAAAGTAGCTCTCGATTTTCTCTATCACAGAAAGCCTGTCAGTGTTGGGAAGAGTAGGGGAAAACAGAGTAGCTTCTTAAAAAATAAACATATGTGTATATAAGAACTATTCTGTGGCTGGTTACAATGCCAATCACTAAGTTCATAGTTGCTCAGATATTTCATGCTAATGGTCCTATCCCATCTTCTCTTTTTGAACATGTATTTATAATGTAATCACATTTCTTTTTTTAAAATTTAAATCAAAGGAAATATATACAAAAATACATAATACAAAAATGCAAATTTAAGTTTAAAAAGAAAACATAGTAAACACAAAAGAAAAGCAACTTAAACTGTAGAATTACAGAAACAGTGCATCCCTCCATTGGAGAGATATTAAATCATTTTTTTTCTATTTACAGAGCCCCATTTGCCTTCTAAAACTGCATTGAATCTTGTAAAGATACATAACCTTTCCCTCTTATATACTCAATAAAAATTCCCAGAATATCACGAAAATACTCTTATTTGTCAAACCCTTTTATACCTTGATATCACAAGTATACTTACCATTAATGGTCGACTAGACCAGATGGGTGGGATATAAAACAAACAAACAAACAAACAAACAAATAAATTCCATTCTTCTTTATACCAGACACGTAACTGAAAATCATGCTTTACTTTCCAATTGTTTTCTATCATTAATTTTGCAACTATTAGTAATTTTTTAAATTCTTTTACAACCCAATCCAATTTTTCTCTATCAAGTATTGATATTTGAGTGCTGTTTGAGGACATATCTCTACATTTAACTTCAATATTTTATTAATTTCTTTAATATTAATTTTCACATTCCCATCACAAATGAAAACATGTACCTACATCCTGGCCACATCTCCAACATAGATTAGAATACTTATTATCCATACAATAAAATTTCACCAGTGTAAATACTCTTTGCAAACTAATTTTTTAAATGTTCTTTAATTTTTGCAGACATGCATTTTAATATTCTCTTATCCCAGATATTTTTCCATACTTCACATTTCAGTTCGATTCAGAAGTCAGCTAAAAAAAAGGCAAATGTAAAAATTTTATCACACTACTTTGCTACTGATGTCAAATCTCCTTTTGCCTTGTTACTTGACTGTTTAGGTAATGGTCTGTCTAAATCACTCCAGGAATAAATTTGTTTTCTTTAGCAGCCTTCCCTTAGTTCCTCTCTTACTCCTTTGCTGCCACTAATCTCCAGTTGCTCCTTTGTCACCTTCACTCAAGCCCTTCACTTATTTTGTCACTTTACTCAAGCCCTTATACCACTCTCCACATAGCCAGCTGGTCAGGTATTGAACAAAGCATCATTCAACTTGAATAGAACAAATAAGATTTATTAAAATAATAATCTTAAAAGAATGTTGATTATTCTTAGGCTTTAAGTTGATTCAGCACAATCGTTCACTCTACTACCTCTCCCTCACTGAATCTCTCAAGTCATGTGCGGATGGTCATATAATTTGCTACTTAGATCATTTTTTTGTCCTGTTTGGTTTGAATAACATTTTAGTATTTACATATGTTTTGACTTAGAGCAATCCATCTTGCGTCATTTTAAAGTTGTCCCGCTTCTTTTTGGCACAGCCCTAAAGGCAACCTTTTAAAAATGTGATTCAGAGCGCTCCTAATTATCCTGTTCTGTAGCCCCTGTGGATGGTTATTTTTCACCCAAATAAGAGCTGTGGGTGGTGGTGTCTGAGGTGACATTTGGTGGATTGTAGCACTGAAAGGGATAATGGAGAAACCCCCTCCTTTATTTTCATCTATTCCTTTAAAAAAAATTTAAATTATTGATGTAGTGCCATTCTAGATGAGATACAATGGTGGCATTATTTGTACCATGCTAGATAGATGCATTGCTATTTCACTACGTCACCTTATTTAACAACAGGAAAGGATAGTCACCATGGCTTGCTGAAGATGGGGAAGGAAGCAGGAAGGGAAATAATCATTAATCCAAAGAACAACAAATTGGAGTGATCCAGAGACCTGTCTGTACCCTTCTCATAGGAGAAGAAAAAAGTCAGTCAGTGTGAACAGGATTGTTTAAGATGAAATAAAATAGATCACATTAAAGATAAGACCCTTTTAAGTGTGACTCATATCTGACAAACTTCCTCTATCTAGATCTGCCCTCAGACTGTTCTCTCTCTCAGGCCCCAGATTGCAAAAAACCACCTTCTGTCTGTACACTAGACTGCTGAAAAGCCTCGCCAACACTCCCCTCCCTTAGTTTCTCCCAGCCATTCAGAACCACTATTACCAACATACCATGCTTCTCACTCACCTCCTCCCTTCAAATACTTGCCAAAACATATAAACAATATATTTAAATATAATCAGGCATCACAAAATTCCTTTCCTAACTTGCAGCTAGAAACAGTAAATGGTATAGTCTTCAACAGTGCTGCAGGAAACCTGTGTGACTGTGATCATACTTGCTATTAACTATGGATGAGGTGGAAGGGCAATCAATGAAGTGGATAGATGTGAAGCAAGAAATTGAATGGTCTGGCATGCAAAAGAAAGGAATGCTAGCTATAGTCTATAATTTAGTAAACCTCTTGGTTGATTACTAGGGGGCAGGTTTAGGCTGTTTGTGTAACAGCAGGGCACATAGTGATTGATGTGGACCCTGCTTCTTTGTTTTGGCCAGGAAGATTACAGGAGGAAGATAGAAGGATTGCGCTTGATGAATACTGGGTAAAAAGTGGTGGACCTGATGAATACTGGACAAAAAGTGGTGCAAAGCCCAAGTTTCCTAGCTTTATGCCTGGTGGCCTCTCGCCCCCAACCAAAAGCCAAGAGAAAGGTATGGCCTTGCATATTTAAATGAAAAAAGAGGAAATTTAAATATTCATTAAATACAGCATCAACTGCTGTAGCACTTTTATTTAATATTTATTCTCCAAGGCACATAGAGCTAATTGGCAAAGCATTAGGTACTTCACACAACTTGAATTTTATACATGATGCAGGAACAAACCTGGATTTGCACATAATGTAAACTCATGAGGTAGCTGCAGCTAATTATGGTTTTCTAACTAATGATGCACTAATTTTTGAATGCATATGGTACCACACTTTTAGGCAACTAATCAGTATGCCTTGGGGTCAACTTACCTAATACCTCTTCAGTTATTCTTAAGAAATTAATTAAAGGGCTCTTCAAACAGGCCATTTGTTCTGTCATATACCTGATTGCAGATGTTATTGATATTTTTCTTCCCATCTGTATGATATAAGGTTTGTCTCTGTTTAATGACAAAATCCATGACTCTGCATCTTTTTTGTTCCATCCTGCAGATGTGGTGGTTATTTTCAGTTTGTCCTGAGGGTCTGAAGTGCTTCCTGTGAAGTTCATTTCTGTGGCCAGAGCTTCTCTGTCAGAAGTTTTCAATTTGCAATCAGTTACCACAGAAAGATGCATTAAATAGCTCTAGAAGGGAAGCTTCATCCAGGAAATTGATTTCTAATATATTTATTAAAGGATTTCCTGGTGTGGGGGCTGTTTTGTTCTTGTTTGTTTTTTATTTTAAAAAGTGGCTTTAATTAGTGAGATTTGAATGCCAATACCAGCAAGCCCCACATTCCTTTGTGATGAACAGGGTGAAAAGGTGTGGGGTGGGTCAGTAGATCTGCACTCATCTGGAAGAGGCCATAATCACACTGATGTATAGCTATACTGTATGTGAATATATTAACAAGCTAGGTAGCAGGGAGCTCAAGCGGGTAAGAAGAGGAAAAGCTCAACTTGAACAGTTAACTCTTCTAAATTGGATTAATAAGTTTCTATATCTTGAATGCAGATATATTTGCTGTTCCTTCGGATAATTTGTATGTAGACCCACCAAAGAAGAAAAAAGGAATGGGTAAGCCTCCACACAAGCGTAGAGACACAAGATGTGATACAGAAGTTAAAGAACGGGAGAAGCCAAAAACTGCCAATCACAAGGGTAAGTGTATTAAGGCAATGAACCTTCTAGCACTAATGAGACCACTTATTGCTTTTAGAGTCAAGCTCCATGCTATGCCTGTATTTCTGCAGTTCTTTCAGGGCAATGTCTCTGAATTTATTTCATAAAAAAACTAAGTGTGTGAATCTACTGCCAGAGGAGGACTATGCAATCTTTTTTTTAAAATAATTCACCTTCTTTAATATCTTTTCTGCAGGGCGGGAAGCAAAGAGATCCCTCTATAAAAGAAGATAATCGGAATTGTGAAAAGTACAAACATTGGTCTGTATCAGTCAGATGAATCCGTATTTCTTTTTGGTATGCAGCTCAGCAAGACCAAAATTTCACTCTAAAGATTCCTGAGTACACATCTGAGAAATATATAAAAATGTACTGGGCACTAAAAATAATGCACAGTATTGTAAATAACACAATGTTTAAAAAGGAAATAAAAGTTAGAATTGCACTGATGAAATGTCTTGTGAAGAATATGTAAGGCAGAGAATACTATTACTCAGTTATTAAACACAATAATAGACTTCAAACAAGGAATGTATTGTAGGAGCCACACATTCATCTAAGAAACACTCAATTTACATTTAGAGTTCAGCTAAGCTACCCTGCTAGATGAACATGGTTAGCTACTCCCCACATTTTTCTGCAGTGAGAAATTCAGATCCAGCAGGTTGTTTTCCTCTCAAAAGAAACCCCAAACCGCTTAGTTATAAATTGTGTATTGCTTACAACAGAATGGGCCAAGGTTATTTTGGACTAGAATCCTCAGGGTCACTAACTGGAGCCAGATACCAAATTTCGTTGTTGTTGTTTACTCGTGTCCGACTCTTCGTGACCCCAAGGACCAGAATACACCAGGCCCTCCTGTCGTCCGCTGCCTCCCAGAGTTGGGTCAAATTCATGTTGGTTGCTTCGGTGACACTGTCCAACCATCTCATCCTCTCTCGTTCCCTTCTCTTGCCTTCACACTTTCCTAATACCAGAGTATGTCCCAGGGAGTCTTCTCTTCTCATGAGATGGCCAAAGTATTGGAACCTCAGCTTCAGGATCTGTCCTTCCAGTGAGCACTCAGGGTTGATTCCTTTAGAATGGCTAGATTTGCTCTCCTTGCAGTCCAGGGGACTCTCAAGAGCCTCCTCCAGCACCATAATTCAAAAGCATCAATTCTTCGGCAGTCAGCTTTCTTTATGGTCCAGCTCTCACTTCCATACATCACTGCAGGAAAAACCATAGCTTTGACTATTCGGACTTTTTTTGGCAAGGTGATGTCTCTGCTTTTTAAGATGCTGTCGAGGTTTGTCATCGCTTTCCTCCCAAGAAGCAGGCGTCTTTTAATTTCGCTGATGCTGTCTCCATCTGCAGTGATCATGGAGCCCAAGAAAGGAAAATCTGTCACTTTCTCCATATCTTCACCTTCTATTTGCCAGAATGTGATGAGACCAGTGGCCATGATTCTTGTTTTTGTTTTTTTTTGATGTTGAGCTTTCCTCCCAAGAAGCAGGCGTCTTTTAATTTCGCTGATGCTGTCTCCATCTGCAGTGATCATGGAGCCCAAGAAAGGAAAATCTGTCACTTTCTCCATATCTTCACCTTCTATTTGCCAGAATGTGATGAGACCAGTGGCCATGATTCTTGTTTTTGTTTTTTTTTGATGTTGAGCTTCAGATCATTTTTTGCACTCTCGTCTTTCAACCTCATTTCAAAGTTCCTTAATTCCTCCTC